TAATTTTGGATAATATATTTAATCAAAATTTTCGTGTTTATTATCATATATGATAATAAACACGAAAATTTTCATTATAAATCAAAGCCAATTCTTAAGGCGTTACCAAAATACCCGGAGAAGATTATAAAAATAATAATTAAATAATAATATTGAATAATATTATAATATTCGTATATACAGGGAAAATAAACATGTAGCTGTTGGCTAAATAAATTAAAAATCGATCAGACCAGTCAAAATTGTTCTGGAGGGGGCTGCTAACTAAGCAAGTAACTTTTACTAGCTAATAAGGTTTCATTTGGCTTGTTTATGCTTATTCATTTCTTCATTAAAGATAACATTTAATAATTAACATACAATGTGTCCCTAAACTTATTGGCATAAATTTAGGAAAAGAATGAACTATTCAAAATAAGACGAAAACCCAAATACATATTTTTCCTAATTACTATGTTTCCAAGATACAGGGTGATAAAGTGTTACTTATCATATCAGTTTTTTTAATATAAACTCTACTATGGTAGTCTTGGAAAGGTGATATTTTGCGAACAGTCACTTACTACCAAAACACATATTCACTGTGAATAATTCACACATAATTATAATTGTTTGAGTAAACAAAGTGTCGTAGAAAAGGGGGTTTCTTTAAGCTTATTGTCCCATACAAACTTTGAGGTTAGGTTTTTATAACATTTTAAGCAAATTTTTCGATTTCTCAGTTCGGCTACCAAATAGGTGTACCTCTCAAACTTTGCAAAATATTCGAGATTTCAATAATTGTTATATCGCATTATTTAAAAGGTATATGATAACAAATTTTATTTTTTAATGGAAAAAACTAAAAAGGGCATTCCATGAGACTCGGAAATTTTTGCCCTGACCGTCACATTAAAAAAATTGTAGTTTTTTCAATTAAAAAATTTATTATCATATACCTTTTAGTCCTTTAATGCGATATAACAATTATTATAATCTCGAATATCTCGGAAACGGTTTATTTTATCGAAGTTTGAGAGGTACACCTTTTTAATGGTAGCCAAACTGAGTAATCGAAAAATTGCTTCGAATGGTATAAAAACCTAACCTCAAAGTTTGTATGGGACACTGTGTTCACTCGAACAATTGTAATTATGTGTGAATATGTGTTTTGCTAGTAAGTGACTGTTCGCAAAATATCACCTTTTCAAGTCTACCATAGTAGAAGTTATATTAAAAAAACTGATACGATAAGTAACACTTTATCACCCTGTATCTTTTAAACATACGTAATTGGGTCATTTTCAAGAAACATTCGCTTTCAGGAAAATGAAGATCAAAATATTTTTTGCTTAAATTGACTTTGGGTTGGATTTTTATAAATGTTTAGAGTTTTGTTTATTTACATTTAAGTCAGGCAGTGCACTTTTTAATTTTTTTTACGTTTTTTTAAGAAAAATGTGTTTAGCTAGCTTTATCTCCATTGTGTTACCAATTTGAAATCCAAAATTTAATTCAATAAAAAAAGTTGTTATAAAAATAATTTGAAATAAAATGTACTTAGTTCACAAAATTTTGACTCCAATTTTTTATTTTATTTTTTATTAAAAATTGTATGCTTTTTTTTAAATATGTATGTTCGTTAAGTTTCTTTTTAAAAGAAACCATTCCGATTCTTTGTTAAAAAAACAATACCATTAATATTTTCTTTTAGTCACTGTATTAGTGAATTAAACTCTAATTTATAAACACGTATTACAACGTGATAGTGTATAAAAATCATTTTAAGTATTTTTTTTAACAAAAACTAAAAAAAGTATCGAAATAGACATTGGTATCACAACGGACAGGGATACACACACAAAGGACTTAATCAGATAACGTAAAAAAGAAACTATATAGGGTGGTACTATTTTAGAGTAATGCATAAACAAAATCCCTTGTAGTGGTGCTCACTTGCAGAATAACAACTTAGATTTCTAAATTGTAGACACCCTTTTTCTTTGACTATAATAATAATAATAATAATAATCTTTATTAGTGCTAAACCAGTAGGTGTACAACGTTAATACAGAGAAAATAAACATTAGTAGATACAAGTATAAATAAATTATAAATAGAATAGACATAATATGAAATAAAATGAACCTATAATATAAAAGCTGCCAATGAGCTAATCCCAAATCTCACTCAAAAACTCATCCGTACTGTAATATGCTTTGCGAATCAAACGTTCTATAAGAAACAATCTTAATTCATCAAAGCTTAAATTTTTTCTTTGATTTGAAAGTTTATTGAAAAATTTTATTCCATGGTACTCTGGCCCATGTTGAGTTTTTGACAGTCTTGAAAACCTCACAATTAAATCATCTTTGTTTCTTGTGTGATGCTGGTGAACAGTTGTGTGTGTTTTATAATTTGATAAATGTTTTTTGACATATAAGATATTTTGCAGAATAAATGCTGATGGGAATGTGAGTATTCCCAGATCCCTGAAGGCAGCCCTACAATCATCCCTATATCTAAGTCCAGCTACAATTCTAACCACCTTCCTTTGTAATGCAAAGATTATACCTGAACTGGTTGCATGACCCCATATTATAAGAGAATATGTCATGATTGAGTGGAAAAGTGCATGGTAACAAGACAACAGAACCTCCCGAGACACAACTGCTTTCAAGTTTCTTATTACGAATATATTTGTTGACAATTTTTTAGAGAGAAACTCGACATGTTTATACCATTTTAGTTTATCATCTATGAATACGCCCAAAAACTTTACCGCCTTTTGAGTTGCAATATTATTATTTCTCAAAGTAAACACGATCTTATTAGTCTTATCTTTATTTAAGACTAGGTTGTTTGAAAGAAACCATTTCTCGGCATTTGTCAGTGCGTCACACGCACTTATCTCCAAAAGCTCAATATTTTTGTTTGATACAGATATAGTTGTATCATCAGCAAACAAAGTAAAGGTAACTTTGTCATTACTGTATGGCAGGTCATTTATAAAAATTAAGAAAATTAAAGGGCCCAAAACGGATCCCTGGGGTACCCCCACAGTAATTTCTTCTCTACCCGATAACAGTCCATTCACTCTACAAACCTGATATCTTTTAGTAAGATAGGATTCTAATATTTGCAAACCTTTATAACTAAATTTATAACACTTGAGCTTTCGTAGAAGTAGTGCATGCGACACACAGTCAAATGCCTTACTTAGATCGCAAAAAATTGCTGATTGATATTTTAAATCTTCAAATGTTTCAAATTCATTTCTAACAAAATCCAAAAGACCAGTGGTAGTATTGTGTTCCTTTCTAAAACCGTGTTGACATTTGACAAATATATCGTGCCTCTCAAAGAATTCCGTCATTCTCACCGCCATGCACTTCTCCACCACCTTCGACATGATGGGCAAAAGAGAAATGGGTCGATAGTTAGAAGGATCATCTGTATTGCCTTTTTTATAGACAGGTACTACTAGGGCCTCCTTCAGAACATCTGGGAACACTCCCTCCAAAAAACATAAATTTATTAATTTTGCAAGGGGTACAGCTATAAGCTGCTGAAGGTCCCTTTTAGTACTTTTATATTGCGTGGAATTTTTCCTTGGATGTAATCACCACTGTTTACCATGTCAAGAAATTATAACTGTATTAGTCATGACTGTGATTTGTTTTTTACTAGTTTAAATGATATTATTAGGGTGGCAAAGACTTATTTTTGATTTTTTTGTAGTTTAGTATTAGTTTTATTTTTAGTAAATGAAATGTTAACTTTAATTATATTTTTTGTTCTGTAATTGGAGTTTTACTCCGTTGGGCAAATAAATGAATTATTATTATTATTATTATATCATGAGTTGTAATTACAAATAATTTTAAATTGGTTAATCATAAACTACTTTTAATAAAAGCGACGGTAAATATCCACTTTGTTGTCGAAAAATTCTATTGCGTTACCCTAAATTCCATTGCGTTACCATAAGGTAACATAGTGGACTCGGTAACGCAGAGGACAAAGTTTTGTAAAACCATATTTAAAATATAATAATAAGACATTATAGTCATTAGTTACTCTCAATGAGCTTTAGTGCCCTAAAATAAACATAAACATGAAAAAACGTATTTTTTCTTACCTTATTTTTATTATTTTTTTAAGTAACTTAGCGGACAAACAATTATTACATTCGCGTTACCCGCACCTGTTTCAACCGATATCTTCTTCCTGATTGAATAAATAAATTCAGCTGGGTAATGTGTACGTCCGAACATCATTTGTTCATCACGTGAGTACCAAAAAAGTTGCCTTATATGTTTTTTTTAATATTCTATCGGTAACGCGACAGACGTAACGCAACGGAAAAAATGTCTGGGACATGAGTCAAATTTAAAAAAAGTAGATTAAAATTAATTATTTTATATATAAATTGTTTACTGTATTAACTAAGGATGTTATGGATTGCTATAAAGCAACACAAAGTTCTGGTTATTCAATATTTAAAAAAAACATGTATGTAAGTTTTATAAAACGCTAATGGGACATGCGAAAATGTGTTTCAGAAGTTTCAAAATTAAAGAAAAATTATTCTGAAATAACTAAACAAAAATTTTCTGAAAGAGTTTACTAAGGGCTTGTCAGGCTTTCACTTGGTTTTTAAATCAATAAGATCCGATAATTTTTAACAAAGTTATTGGAATTCAAACTTACGGACAGCGGAAGGCGGGTGTTTTTTAAAAACGACCCAATTAGGAAAAATATTTATTTAGATTTTCATCTTATTTTGACTTGCTTAATCTGCTCCTAAATTTATGCCACTAAGTTTAGGAACTCCTTGTATAATAACTAGATTAGGACGATACAAAATCACCAGATAATTGCGACTAAAGAATCGAAAAACTGATTGAATCAATTAATTGAGGCAAATTTTATTATAATTTTAGTCGCTGGACGAAATATTTAATTTACCATTATAAAATTACTCTTCTATGGCTAAATTATTATATGTTATTTATTACCTGTTTCTTGTTGCCGCTCCTGCTGTAGCTGCTGTTGCTGCTGTATGTATGTAACACTCTTTTTTTTCCCTTAAATTGAAACATTAAAAAAAATACTTACTGTTATATTTGTTTGGTTTACATACCGTCAGAACAACACCAATGAAAGCAATAGGATAAAATAATAATGATTAATATAAAAGTGTATAAGTGGAATTTATATTCATTCATTTTAAATGTTTTCCTGTCAAACTTTGCTACAAAACTAACTAATTTATATAAGTAACGGTATTTTATATACACTGAAAGAAATTTATGTTTCATATATGGACTACCACATACATTGCTAAAACAAACATATAATATATTTACCTTAACCATTTTTATATTTAGTTTTAACATATTATGTTAAAACTAAATATAATATATGTTTGTTTTAGCAATGTATGTGGTAGTCCATATATGAACCACAAAACATTGCTAAAACAAACATATATTTCTTTCAGTGTATGTTTCTCTTTTACTTTATCAATTTATTTCTTTATCTTAACCCACCGCTGAAGTCATATTTCCTGTTTGGTGAATTTTACATTTTAATGTGATTTTTAATATTTTTTTTGCCCGTAGAGTCATTTTTCAATTGTGTATATTTGCAAATATTGCTCTAATGAATCTAAAATCCAATAGAGTATATAGATTTGGTAGTTAAGGTAGATTTAACTTGACTATATTACATAGATATTAAAACTTTATAAAATACCATAAAAATATAATAATTTTCGTAGTCCTTTTTTGGCCAATTATCAAATATTGACCCACATGTTTTTGGTACGGTCCAGGGTTTTTTATTTATTGAATACTCCTAACAGTTTTTGAGATATAGTCAATTTTACAAATAATATGGAATTGACTATATCTCAAAAACTGCTCTACTTTATTAATTTTTGACGGTATCGTGTGAAAATTTAACATAAGAATTGTCTGTTAAATGTTGGGGATACCATGGTATCCCATGGTTAAGCATAGTATAAGTGAAAAATCATCCACTAATAACTGCATTAATTAGTAATTTTTGACTAATTCATTTTTAGAGAGTAGGGTTTAGTAAACATAGTTTTTCAGTTATGTGTTTTTGTTCTGGGACACCATAAAAAATTTCAAAAATGGCGAATGCGCCGGGATTAATCTGTTAAAATTATTATAATTTTAATTATAATAATTTTAACAGATTAATCCAGTAAAAAATACTTTACTTAAACATTATTTCTTAAAAGAATAACCACAATTTTTATTTAATAAAATTAAAGACTCAGGTGTTTTATAAAACATGTAACCGCAAACTTTATAAAAACCCACTGGTAACGGTTACTATGGGTTATATAAAATGTTTGTAGAAACAATTGCATAACCTAATTATATACCTAGTGTTTACAGTAACCTTATATAATTAATACAAAACTAGTAAACTAAATGGAGATTTTATAAAACCTTGTAATACTCTTATATAATTTGACAACCCTTATATAACCTTTATATAATTTATCGTTACCATAAGTAGTACAAATTGTTTATTGGCCCCTTATATATTCTATTTCCAAAGAAAAGGATTTGCCAGATTTCTTTTTGTAATTTTTGTTTACAAAAAACACCTTTTAGGTATTTAAAATTAAAAAACTTTCTTTGAGTATAGAAAATTATTAAGCCAACTTAAAGTATTTTAGTTGTACGAGGTGTGTTCAGAAAATAACGGTAATTGTTTAATTTTGCGGGTTCGGAGGGTCCGGTTGTCATAAAATTTTCTTTATTATGTTGGTACATGCCCCCGAAGTATGATAAAAACTTTAGCTGTTTTCATTGTTTACTTTGTTTGTGGCAGCCGCTAAGGTTAGACGTGTTTTATGAGCTCGGCGATATTCGTTCGTTAAAAGAAATGGATCGAAGAATTTGTATCCAATTTTGCTTAAAAAATAAAATAAATCCTGTGAAATGTTAACAAAGGCCTATAATGAGTCTGCTATAAGTAAAACAAGAGTTTACAAGTGGTATAAGAGTTTCCAAGATGGCCGTGAAGACGTTGAAGATGACGAACGCCCCGAACGCACAAGCACATTAACAACCGATAAAAACATGAAAAAAGTGAATAAAATGAGAGAAGTCGCTGATGATGTTGGTATATCGATTGGCTCATCCCATGAAATGTTTTCGAATGTTTTGGGTATGAAACGCGTGGCAGCAAAATTCGTTCCAAAATCGTTAAATTTTGAACAAAATTTTTGGCCAAAAACAATACTGTAATGATGCCCCAGCCTCCATATTCGCCAGACATGCCTCTGTCTGACTTTTTCCTATTCCCAAAAATAAAGAGAACCTTAAAGGGCCGTCGTTTTGAAGGGATAGATGACATTAAAAGCGCATCGCTGAAAGAACTAAAGGCTATCCCAAAGATCGAGTTTTAGAAGTGTTTCGAGTATTGGAAGAAGAGCTGGCACATGTGCATAATATCCAATGGGGACTATTTTGAAGGCGACAACATTAATGTAGACGAATAAATAAATATTACCCCGTATATACTTTATACAAAATGACAAGTAAAATTTCTCACAAAGCAAACAAGAAAGCCATACACTTCGAGTAATAACAAAGTACATAGTTTGTTTTGACGGTGTCACGAGTCATTTGTGTCGAAGTTAAAAACGCGTAAACGCCCCCTTCGAGCGTAGACACCAAGACACAAGTGCAGAAACCGAAAAGTTGGCGCGGGCTCACTATGGCATTGAATGAACGTGAATTTTGTCTCAGTAAGCGCGCAAACTTGAACTGGCAAGTGACTACACTGTAATTTCATAGCCTACTGCTATTGCGGGTACAAGCCGAGTAAATTAAAAGAAAAAACAAATTTAATTTGGTTCCGGTGTTAGTGAATTTATATTTATTAAGTGAACTGAGTTGCAAGAGTTGTTTAGGGATTTAATTAGTTTCTTAAAAGTTATAATTCAATTAAGGGTAAGTAAAATTAATACTATTTTTATGAATGAAGAAATAAACTTTATGAAGGTATTCTAAATTATATTTTATTTTTAGTAATGTAGGTATTACTCAATCTGACGCTTTTATAGTTCTTGTTAACAAAACTTATAGTCAGCTTAAATTTATATTTATGCGCCAAACGAAAAAATTCATGCATTTGAATAGGATTGCATTTTCTTAAAAAAATAAATTTATACTATTATTTTAAACTATATATTCTATAGAATTAAGTCCACCAATTATAGTACTATTATTATGTATCAAGTTTTATAAACGACATTTTAGTTACGGTTAATTAAGCACAAAAACAAGTGTCTAGAGAAATTTCTAAACCAGTTGCATACTATACTTTATCCGCGACGAACACAAAACAGAATTGAAAGCCAATTTTATTTGTTAAAAATTTGACATTTGTCATCTGTCACCCGAATTTAACCTTACTTTCTTTCAATTGATAATAAAGCTAACCTCAGCCCGTGACTAAAAAGTCAGTGTTTCCAACTTCAGCCCGTGACTAAAACACCATAAAGTTACAGCTGCGAGTGCATAGAAAAGGAGTTGCATACTATACTTTTTTTACCTCAAATACTTGATATTATGTATCTAAAAAATGATTTAAATTAAATATTTGTATGAAGCGACATCTATACGGAAATAAAGTAACCATCACAATAAATATGACGTAATTTTAACCGTTATTATTTTAATTAAACTTAACAATTATTGATACTTTAAAATATTAAAACAACTTCAAAATATGATTATTGTAAAAAAATATTTTATCCTTTGATTTTGATATTACTATAATTGCAAAATATTAGGAATTAAAAATTCTTACACGGGAAATATTAAGGATACAAAAAGTGACAGTTGTATTTAATGGAATTCCCGTTAGAATTTCTAACTTGGGAATCTACCGGCGTTAAAATCTCAAATTTGTATGTGTAAATCAAAATTTATCCCTTGAAAAAAGACTAACAATCGACATAGAAGCAGTTTTTCACAGTAAAGGGAAGAGAATGTTTTATGGGCACTGAACGCAAAATTATAGTTAACTGCACTACTAATATACAATACATGTCAATGTTTAACAGAAATGCTATGATAGAATCTAAACTGTTAATGTCTATGGTGTGATGTCAACGGATAATTTTAGTCTCAATTGAATAATATGAACCTATAATTTTAAGTTTAAAAAGTCAATGTTCACGATATTATAGATATTTTTTTAAACAATGAGGTAATATTTTTTAGCAATTTTCTAGGATTCATCGGGGTGTAAATTAAGGTTGTGGGCGAATTCTGGGACAACCTGTATAAAAAATAAATAGGGGTTCAATTATTTAAATACTAGTTACTTTATTTGGGGCTCAGCAAATCCCGAAGACTTGATTTCATGGTCAGTATGGCACGTAGCGCCAAACTGCTGATGAACAACATATCGCCCGAATCAATGTCTATTATATTATCGTAAAATAATCATTGATCATTCCCAATAAACATTTTTGTTTTTATAGTGGTTTCCATAAAAGTTATCATCCAAATTATAAAACCTAAATTTCTTAATTTGGTTACAGAAATATTTATATCACTCTTAAATACCCCTTAATGAGCTTATTTGGGGAGTCTACCTCAGGCACATTTAAAATATATATTTCTTCATAGGTACGCTATCTTTCTTATTGTCATCTTATTCGTTAACTTGTTTAAACCACGTGAATATTTTGAGAAGCCAAGTATGGCAAAAATATTAATGGTAGGTATATAATTTAAATCTAAGATTTTTTACTCAATACGACTTAGTGCAAAGTAATTTTTATTGTAAATATGTACACAATACTTAAAGTGCAAAGTAAATAGGTACACAATACTTCGAAAAAAAATATATGAAATATTTTTTTAAATACATTAATATCTTTCTTTTGCTTACATTAAAGTAGTGAATTTTTTACCTTGGTTTGGTCAATTACGTTGTTTTTGTAATACAATTCGATTAACATTTATTTCATGTAAAAAACAATCAGGGCGGAGAGAATGTATCAACCTTTGGCCCTCTTGTATTGTTCATGGTTTTATATAACCTAAGGTACTAGTTCAGTTTTATAGCACTATCTAAGTTACTTAAAGTGTTATATTTATGTTAATAATATTACATTACTTATAAATTTTATGGTAAATATTTTTTTCAACCAATTTTTAATTAAAATTATGAAAAAGCATTGCTAATACTATGCTTAATTTCTGTTTCAATTTCTAAACATTTTTGGTTTATTAGGCACATAAATAATTATTAACTCCACAAATTATTTAAAAAAATTAAAGACACAATAGTTTTATAAAACAGGTAACCGCAAACATTATAAAACTCCTTTATAAACCTACTGATAAATATATATGACCATTTTAAATCTAGTAAACTAAATGGCGATTGAATAAAACCTTATTAAACTCTTACATACTTCGACAAATATTATATACCCTTTATATACCTTATCGTTACCATAAGTAAAACAAATTGTTTATTGGGTTATCCGGTAATGTTGCGTATTCACTATAACGTGAGCTCGAACCTCATGGAGCTTAAACAAAAGTACTGAAAACCACACCAAACAGTGCACCAAACAGTTTAATTTTGTCGATGTAATTGAGGCCTTTGTAGCTTATACAAATGTATGCACATTACTACCAATAGCAAGCCCAGTTAGTTGGTTTATTATGTGAAGCATTCGCATGCATGATCGATCTATTTCTATTTTAATGATTTTCATGTGGTTGCAAATCAATTAATTTTGACGGTTTTATTGTTTCAGAACAGGCTTCATTTAAATAATACTATATTTCTAGTATTTTTCCATTTTAAGAAAAATCTATGTGTTTTCCTATTTATTTCATTTGACTGATACACAAGACTGGGCCAAAAAAATCGACTATTTTTTTTTGAAAAGTATATCGAAAATGTTTGGGGTGAAAGTTTGAGTCCATAATATTAATATTAAGAGGTCTCTCATCGCAATTTTAGATTTTTCCTGAGCGAGTTTTTGTCTCAGAACTCCCAAACCATTGAGTTTAACAAAATTGACTTAAGAATATTTTTTGAGGAAAATTGAATGCCCTACAAAAAAGGTTAAATTGGAATTTCCCCTCAGATGAACCGTTTTATTACAATCTTGCCTTAAAAATTGGTATAATTTTACAATTTGATCTTTTAACTTTGGAATTTTGTAATTCATGTAAAAATCAGTATGGAAAATCAAATGCTTTACAAAAAACATTTTTGGCTAAATTCACTCCATCAAAAGTTATTCAAGGTTAAATTTGAAGTCAAAACAAAATTCTTGTTTTTTCCGCTCTAGATTTTTTTTTGGGTCAGTTAAAAACTTGAATTCTTTTATCGATGATAATCTTTATGTTATTGATAAAATTACTGAAAATTAAAAAAAAAATAACAAATTAGAATTTTTTCACTTTAAGAAGCTATTTTCTTTGGAAAATATTATTTTCACTGTTACCTATTTAATCGATTAAATAATAACAATCATGTTGTTTTTTATTGGAAATTGTTAATTAGTTATATAATACACATTTATAAAGAAAAAAATCAAATTATCACCCATAAAAAAATAAATCTACAGAGGAAAAAACAAGAATTTCGTTTTGACTTCAACTTTAACCTTGATAACTTTTGATTGAGTGAAATTAGCCAAAAATGTTAAGAGGCTTTTTTGTAAAGCATTTGATTTCCCATAAGAAAATTTATCGGTTTTTATCTGGGTACTGATTTTTACATGAATTTCAAAATTCCAAAGTTAAAAGATGAAAATGTAAAACTATACAAATTTTTAAGGCATGATTTTTTTAAGGAAACGGTTCTTCTGACGGGAAATTTCATTTTTACCTCTTTTGTAGAGCATTTAATTTTCTTAAAAAATATTTCCAAATCAATTTTGTTAAACTCAATAGTTTGGGAGTTCCGAGACAAAAACTTGAGGAAAAAAAATTTAAAATTGCGATGATAGACCTCTTAATATTAATATTATGGACTCAAACTTTCACAATAATTTTTTTTGTTACCCCAAACCATATTTCCAATATACTTTTCAAAAAAAAATATTTGATTTTTTTGGCCCAGTCTACTGATACACAGTGTATACATAAATTATACATAATATATTGAAAAATATATTTGTATACAATGTATTTTTAATATAGCATTCAGTTTTAACCAGTTCAAATAAAAAACCAAAATTTAAATAAAAAAATACAGTAAAAAAATGAATACATTAGTAAATAATTTAACAAAATGTATTAATATTATAAATAATTCTAATTATTAATAATATTTATAAGTCGGCGACCGAGTAAACTTATATACTCGTATAATATAACTATAGCTATGTCCCTTGAAAAAGTTTCTTAATTGCTAGTAGTATCAAAATATCTAAAGAACTTACTTGAAACTCTTGTAATTAATCAGCTCTTAATTACATTAATAAAGGTAATCAACATTTATATGTATATTCGTTTAGAATTTAAGCATACACGTTTGTACCTCATAAATTTTAATGTATGTCTCGACTTCATACACATTGAATGCATAAACCTGTGCAAAACTATTTTTGTAGACTTCTTATAAATATGCATTACTGCAGTTGCTTTTGATTGTTTTACAAGCCTTAATTTACCTTCCTTACCAGTTTTATTTATCTACATAGACATCTATAAAAAAATGGTGATAATGAAAAGGATGTTTTATGGGTAATTTTTATTGGTTTATCGGCAAATACTAGTTTACTGCCATGCATATAAACTTTATAAAGTAACTTTAAAGTTTAGTTACAAAAACAATGTTCAATCATATTTATGTAAGTAGGGTAAAGTAGACAGTTATTGGACAATTAACATTAACACTGTAAAAACAAGAGTTCTATAAATAGTTACCTTAAAGTCAAATCATTAGATGACGATGTATACAATTA